TAGTATAAAGTGTACTTATAATTAAACTGGTGTATACGGTGATTATATCGACATTATTGTATACAATTTGATATTTTTTTTTTCAATTTATGTTATAGGGTTACTATCAAAGTACCTCAATTTATGTTTTATATGTTCGTAGTCGGTTCATTTTCTTAGAAACTACAATAGACAACTACATGAAGTATTTTAGAGACTACATCCAACTTTCGGTGGCACCGCCTTATGTTACACGTGCTGCTTCCTCTAAAAAACACTCGTCGAATTCTTTCGTCGCCATGGGTTGGATCTTAATCCGCTATCCAAGGTCTCCATCGAGTATGCCTGTGCCTCGGCCCTTCTGGACCATGCCTTCGTCTTCACATCTCCGCAGCCAAGAGAACACGGAAAGGACAAGGGTGAGGCAACATCGCAGCACGATGTTGCCTACCGTTCCCCAAACCCTGGCGGCTCCTCTCCCGATCGATTTTCTTCTAGTGGCACTCCTTCCTGATTCCCTCCCGATGGATTAGAACGTGCAACACCGTCAAGTTCCCCAGCGAGGGTGTAAACCCTTTGCATCGGCAGCGGTGACACGAGTGAGTTTTTTGAGTCCCTCAAGCTCTCTTCATTCTCTTATCTTCACCCAGTACACTTCCTCGAGCAATAGCTTCTCTATTTTCCTCTCCCGTTGTTCATTTGTCTCTTCTCATGGCTGCTCCTATCCCCCTCCAATTGCTTCCCCCACCCCTCCCGTGGCTGCTCTCCACCCCTCATGAAAATGTAGAAATCGAGCAATCTCTCAAACCACAAATTTCTTCTTGCCTTCACATAATATGATCTTCTTTTATTGTATTTCTATGTTCATACACACATGTATGCACCTAGCTATGTAACCGAATTAAACAATCCAGATTATCTGTTGTACCTTTCTCACACAAGCATACAATCTAGCCATAAGTATATACCTGCTCACCAGGAATTTACACAAAAGTTACCTATGAAAACACAATATAATATGGTAGCAGACTCGATCAATAATAGATTAAGTTACAATTTGATCAACGATGGACACGCCGCGCCTCTGCCCCGCTAGTAAGAGAATTAAAGCTGCTAAGCTAGCACTCCTAGCATGCATTTGAAGTACTTTGCCTGAGTACTCTCCCAGTTGACACATGGCTGTTTTTTTTTATTTGCTTCATTACTGATTTTTGTGTGTGTTGGTTTTTTAACGCAGTACAACACAGATGCCCGCATATACGCACATACATTCACACATATGAATGCACGCAAGCACACCTTATTAGTATGAGCACCTTCGAGACAGTGAGCCAGCACAACATTTTGAGATTGACGAAGTTACTGCAGGTGTCTTCATAGTTGACTTCGATGCCTACTGAGCCGCCACAACATCTTGAGATTGGCGAAGTCACTACAGGGGTCGTCGTAGTCGACGTTGATGCCCACTTACACACACATACACTCACCTTTGTGAACGCATATGCACGCACATCGTGCCTCTATGAGCACCTCCTGATTTTGTGTGTGTTTTGCTACTGGTTTTTTAACGCAGTACAACACAGATGCCCACATACATGCACATACACTCAGATGTATGAACGTGCACGCACGAACACCCTATCAGTATGAGCACCTTCGAGATAGTGAGCCGGCACAACATCTTGAGAACGAAGTCACCGCAGGTGTCTTCATAGTTGACGTCGATGCCTACTAAGCCGGCACAACATATTGAGATTGACGAAGCCACTGCAGGCGTCTTCGTAGTCAACGTTGATGCCCACGTACACGCACATACACTCACCTCTATGAACGCATAAGCACGCACATCGTACCTCTATGAGCACCTCCGAGATAGTGAGCCGGTACAACATCTTGAGACTGATGAAATCACTGTAGGCATCATTGTAGTCGACGTTGATGCCCACATACACTCACATACACTCACCCCTGTGAACACACACACAAACCGTATTTATATAAGCACTTCTGAGATGCTGAGCCGGCACACCATCTTGAGATTGATGAAGTCAATACAGGCGTGTTGGTAGTCGACATTGATGCCCATATGCAAGCACATACACTCACTCATATGAACGCACGCATGCACATCCTACCTCTATGAGCACCTCTGAGATACTGAGCCGGCACACCATCTTGAGATTGACAAAGTCATCGTAGACGTCTTCGTAGTTGTCATTGATGCCCACGGACACACACACACATACACTCGCCCATATGATTCACATTTCATCTCTCTCTCTCTCTCTCTCTCTCTCTCTCTCTCTCTCCCCTAAAAATTGATTTATAATTTATCATTTGAAGTGTATCTACCCTAATATATTCCTTCATCGGTATTTTTGAATTAATTAGGTTTTTTGGGTCGATTGGTGGCTAAATTTAGAGATGCATTGTCTGTGTGCTTGCTTGGCACTCTTCCTCCAGATACCTTGCATACAGTTGCAAGTAGCTCAGTAGCAAAGCTGCTGGCTTTTAGTTCACTTCTGTTTTCCACATGATTTACGACTACCTCTTCCTCAAAATAGTTATCTTTAGGTTAGCTTTATACTTTTTACAAATTATATTTTGTTTATCTCGGTCCAAATTATCCTATTCTTTCTTAAACATCAACTTCACTATATATGAAGAACATCCCATTCTCTCCTTGGCAATTTTCTAATTTTAATTCTTGATGTTTCCGCCATGCAAAATAACTAGGTATGCAAAGTTGTATCTTATGTAATACTAGGTATGTAACACAATTTATTTTCTCGGATATCAAATGTATAGATGAATTGTTTTTCAAGTAATCGGTGATCCAATAACAATTCCAGATCTTAAGGGTGTACCAACGCATTGTTTAGATGCTCCCTCTAAGTTTCTCCATCCCTCCTTTCACATGTTGTTAACAAGCATTTTCACCTAAAAATTGATTTATAATTTCTCATTTGAAGTGTATCTACCCTAATATATTCCTTCATCGGTATTTTTGAATTAATTAGGTTTTTTGGATCGATTGGTGGCTAAACTTAGAGATGCATTGTCTGTGTGCTTGCTTGGCACTCTTCCTCCAGATACCTTGCATACAGTTGCAAGTAGCTCAGTAGCAAAGCTGCTGGCTTTTAGTTCACTTCTTTTTTTCCACGTGATTTACGACTACCTCTTCCTCAAAATAGTTATCTTTAGGTTAGCTTTATACTTTTTACAAATTATATTTGTTTATCTCGGTCCAAATTATCCTATTCTTTCTTAAACATCAACTTCACTATATATGAAGAACATCCCATTCTCTCCTTTGCAATTTTCTAATTTCAATTCTTGATGTTTCCGCCATGCAAAATAACTAGGTATGCAAAGTTGTATCTTATGTAATACTAGGTATGTAACACAATTTATTTTCTCGGATATCAAATGTATAGATGAATTGTTTTTCAAGTAATCGGTGATCCAATAACAATTCCAGATCTTAAGGGTGTACCAACGCATTGTTTAGATGCTCCCTCTAAGTTTCTCCATCCCTCCTTTCACATGTTGTTAACAAGCATTTTCACTTCTAAGATGAATCCTCTTGGATTGATCAAGCAAACATATGCTTCAGTTCAAACGTTCTTTCTAGCATTGTGTTGTACTCCCTCTGTTCGAAAAAACTTGTCCCAAGCTTGTCCCTCAAATGGATATATCTAGCCCCAAATTAGTTCTAGATACATTCAATTGAGAGACAAGTTTTTTCGGACGGAGGGAGTAGTTAGCTACGCATGCATGTTTGATACTTTCCAACTTTTTTATGTGGTATCTTTGTCATGTGTGTCCATTGGGAAGAATTGAGTATATTGATTATCATCTATTGTGGAAAAGACAAATCTGCCTGTTCGTCCACCTGAGCGTTGTTGTGGCAATTTTTTTGTGTGCCCCCTTCTCTTACATGAAACAATAATATTCCAGTACTAGCCTTGATTCATTTGTTATTTAACACCATTGCT